AAAACGGTTTATATTCTAAATTACCCCTGTATAATTCTCTCTGTAGATCGTCGTAAGTAAGTCCTTCTTCGACCGATTTAGTCCGGATAAGCGGCTTATAAGACGTTGGAAGAACGCGAGTTGGGGCTGAAATAACGGACACTGGAAGAGATTGCCTTCTTTCTCCGAGTTTATGTAGTGAGTTCGTAGCATGTTGTATTTTTAATGATATCAAATCGATATTTCGATCAATTGTCACTTTGGCGCTATCCGTTTCTGATACCGGCACTTTGGCTTGCGAACGTTCGGTAGCGCCCTCCTTCTTGTGAAGCAGGCTCTCGATTAAAGAAGCCGTGGGATTTTCTGGTTGTTCCCTCTCGAATTCATGTCTCTTTATTCGTGGTACTGTTAAACTTGTTGACACTGAGCACTTACGCTTAATATCGCAGTTCTGTTTTTTGAAATTCAATTCTGTCATACTCACGCTGTAATTCTGAAAAACGTCATCGGTTGAAGCGGAACTTAGCGAACTGAGTGATACCGTTGAAGAACTTTCGTCCGAGGGCGGTGCCGGCAACGGTCTTCTATAACACAAATTCCCCGTAGTTTTCCTAACCGTACACAGGGCCGCTCGCAGAGTTTTCATCTCTATATTCACATGTGCCTTAGAGTAGCACAGTTGTTTTTCAAATCCTCGAAGTTTCAGCTCCAACAACGCTTGTTCCTTTCTGTTCCTCCTACGAGCGTGTTCAATTTGACTGCGTTTGAAACTCATCGTTAAAGTTCAGTCAAAGATGTGTTATGATTAGCTGACACCGTCACAAAAAGTGAGACCAAGTCATTTGCTATCCGGGATCAGCCTGGCATCAATGAACTTAATTCATTTTCGCTCACCGGTTCAGATTATTGACTATATGTATCAAACACAGTAAAGTTTCCCGTGATGTTGTAGCGAACTTGAATTGAACTTCGTGCTTTGCCCAAAATGATCGACTTCAAAACTTGTGGTTCTCTGGTGTCCGTTGACATTGGTGGTATACACTACGACATATTACGCACATTCCACGTCGATTTAAATTACACTGGCACTTTAGTCTATTTCCAGCTCTCTGTCTGGACTGATATAAATCAAAACGTTAACATTACTATCTTGAAATATCCACGTCCAGGTAATTGTACAACACTCTTTGTCGAAGCTGCTAAATCCCGGTCGTTATCGACGTTGTATTCGCGGGACGCCACTGTCCAGACTGACTCACTTCGGAAACGCGGTGAAATTCAACACGTAATAAAACACGTCCAAATGAATTCGAACTTTATTACGATTTTCAACAAAACAGTGCAAAGTGTCAAGTTTTGTTCTCGCTCACTTGGCTTTGTCGTGCAAATCAGAAGCAGTCCAAAAGCGGTCAATAATTCGACTATACTGACAATGACGATCAATATTGATTTTTTATCGGTGTGTTAAAGTCATTAAACTGACACCGATAAATATGTGTGTTGCATGCAGTAACGACCACTACCTATGTGTAAACATCCTGCTAATGTCACTGTCAACGAATACTCTGTCACGATAAACCGAAATGTTAACAAATATTTGTCGTATATCTCTAACACATGCTGACGGCGATCCGCGACGTCATTGTAAACATCGAAATAATTTGTTTCACTCACTCATTTAACGTAAGCCGTTGACAGTAAATTTTACACGTTTACGAGGTATCGATTGCGGTAGGCCATGTCTATAGGGGTCAACCTGACACCACGCAGGTTGGCATGGCAACTATAACGGTAATATGTGTTTACCAGAGAGTCAAAGATTCGCCCCCAATCACTAGATATGTTTTTGTTTAGTGTCGAGAATGGACGAGGCTAACTAATACAAATGTTGACGATTTTTATGTTTTACAAATGCTTGATATTTTACTGAGCAGACGATTCAAATAAATATATATGTCAAAGAGCAAATAAGTAGTGGGCGAGGTACCCGAACTTGTTCTCATGGAAACAACGACTGTGTGATTTATTCCTGTGGTTAAGCCGTACTCTGGCGGCCATTTTGAAATACTAGTAGATTCAGGTTCATACTTCACAAACCGGTACCACAGTTTTTTCTCCTACTATAAAATCGCATTCGCAGGACATAGTTAGCAAATTTGCAAGAAATTCCTGTGTACTGTGTGTTAGCTGCGTCAATCCATAGTTAAATTATTTTTGCTATCTGCTATACTCAAAATAATGATGTTTCACGTATATGTACGTCACTGCTCCCACGCATGTCCGGGACGCAGTT